CAAACAATATGCAGGGTCAGTAAAAACGACTAAGCGATGCGCTGCATATCTGTTCTGCTTCATGCCATACTGTATGTGACACCATCTGTATTACAAAAAGCCATAATGTGAAATTCAAGTTATATTGAGAGTAAAGAAATATATATATATATATATATATATATATATATATAGATAGATATATATATATATATATATATATATATATATAACTGTGTCTTTTTTTAAATGACATATAAGTCCATTCAGACACCATTATAACAGCAATACAACTGTAAAGGTAATAAGTAAGACAAACTGACAACATATATGTCTCTTTTTATATCTCCTAGTTCTTGGATTCAAAAACCTGTCTTTCGAAAATATACATCTAACTGTTCTGCAGTAAAGAAAGCATGCTAGATTTTAAAATACTATACTACCCTTTGGGTGTGAGAGGGCAGGGAGATCAAATTGTTCTCTCTACCAATGCCAGGTACAGACTGCTTTAAGAGCACCTGCACAGTCCCAATGCATTTCTTGATGACCCAGACCACTTAGTCATTAATTGGACACTGGAACAGGGAAGGCGCCCTTAAAGTTGTCTGCATCTGATAGCTGTGCAGACCACCAGCGATTCATCTCACCTTTGTCATGGCTTACCTTAGTTGGGAGTCCGGTAGGCAGATATTTATGCTCACCCTTGCAATTAAGCACAGGTGGACAGGTAAGAATTCACCTGGCCTGTGAGTCTGTGCACGGGGGCTGTGCAGGATATTGCTCCAAGTCGCAGTACAGGTAAGGACACAAGCAGGAGAATTGTCAAGGGTAAGCCAAAGTCAAAGGATGCCAGAAGTCAGGATACACAGTAAGAAAGCCAAGGTCAGGAGCCAACTGGAGAACACTGGAATCATGAATACTAACACAGAAACCAGAGTCAATGAACTGACACTGCCCTCCGTGAGAGGCAGTGTCTTATACCTGGCTAATCAGTGATGCTTTACAGGTGGACTACGATTGACAGGAGCAGTCACAGGTTAAGTCCAGCCCCCAGTGCTGGAGACTTGGCAAGGATAAATGTCAGGCCAAACCAAGAAACAAAGTGGCTCAGAGGCAGGAACACAGGCTGAGAACCATAAAACACCCAGGTTCAGATTCCCTGTTGGGCACTTCTGGGGTGACCTTGTTTGGTAGTCTGGATGTCATGGTGAGAACCTTCCACTGAACTATCAGAGACCCAACTCACACTCCCTTGGATCACCCTGGATCAAACTCACCTTCCACAGTAATACCTATGAGGATGAACAAGGCATTGTGTGATAAAATCCCCTCTTTCTCCACAGTAGAAACATAGGCCATGGCATCTATCAGGGAAGGTAAACAGGAGTGGGGGCAAAAAGATACACACACAGCACTCAAACTTCCATACACAGATACAGAGACAGACACACAATTTAGCCAGTAGACATAGTACACATTCACCTCCCCCATAAGTCTCATCCTCCTCTACACACAACACACAAGCACCACTCAGAGAAACCGAACCTGGGGTTTTAGAAAAGGATGTGCAGTAAAAAACATAAATCTATGATTTTATATATATATATATATATATATATATATATATAAAATAAATATAGATTGTTTTACTGCTCCTCCTCTTTTTTCCTCTATTGGTTACTTTTTTCACTTGATCTTTGAACTTTTTTATTATTTTACAGTAAAATATTTTCTCACCTTTTTGGTTCATCCGATTTATTTTTCAAACATCTTCTCACGAACTAAATTAGGCCGAGCTGAGCCGAACTACCATATGGGCAGAATTTTCTTTCTCAATTTAGACAAAACAAATATTTTAGCCATTCACAAGTCTACTCTACACTCTTAATGCTTAATTGCACTTAATCACGAGGAAACATCCTTTGTAAGTATTGGAGTATCCCAGAAGACCAATGTTGTCTTGGCTCCATGCTGCCAAATTATTCATTTTTAAATTCCCCTAAAAGACACAGTGAAACACATCTGTTAATTAAATAAAAGACTCCCACTTATTCTCTAGTTTTATACACATATTACAAATTCTATATAGTATGTCCTGTAATATGGTCCTTCAACATCCTGTAATATGATCACATTATAATTAGCACAGCCAAAACAGGAATGGCAATACAAGCATTCATTCTTGTACAAGTGGATCAATGCTAGAAAAAAATACACATTGGCCCTTTCAATGTCACTGTATTGCTATACGAGCATGTTTTGATCCTGAGATGTTTGTGCACTGCTCTTTGTGGAAACGACTGAATTCTCATTGAAGCAGATTCTTGTAGTTTCGTATCTACCTTTGAAGATTTACTTCAATAACTTGCTTAATATGTTTGAAGCCAATGTAAATTGGTGCCTGCATATGAATGAATTGTAAGAGTTACGCAATCTGCTGTATAGCACACAGCATGACTTGAAAGCCAGTGCAACTCATCAAGTTTGCTGTATGGTGAACAGTGACAATGATATACATATGCAGCACATAGCTCTCTCTAGAATCTTATTATAGACAACACTGCAGTTGTCATGTATTATTTCTTCTTAAAGGACCAACTGAAACTATGTATATCAACATATACACTCTTTATGCTCCTATAAATATACTTTACAGATATGCATGCAAGGGAAACTGAGATTTTGCAATGTGTGCACGTCAACAATTCTAAGTGTAATGTACTATATATACACATTATATTTATATTATGTATATATTTTACAGTACACTAACTGGTGCATTTTCAGTCCATTTTGGTTCATTCAAATATTTTTTTCCCAAAACAATTGCATGTCAAACATTCATCCGGACCAGAATGCCATATTGATAAAACCCAAATTGCTGACAACGATTGTATTTCTGTATTGATTCAGATGAACTAGTTTTGTATATAATAAGCCTGCATTTGCTTTTTTTTTCATATGTATATTTTGAAAGTCAAAACAGGTTATAAGAAAAACACAAAAAATCTTCAAAATATACATTTTCTTACCATTCTGTTAATCTCCACTTGCGGCTCAAAAAAGGTTTAGCTCACTTATTTACAAATTAAATTGAACAGTCCAGTACCAAAATGCCAACATGTCTCCTCTGCAAAAACAGATGATCATTTTAGCAGTCCTTCAGTATGGTGTTGTAATACCGCTCTAAGAACTATGAGCATGGATGACCTTTTCTTAGTTTAAAGATACCCTAATTATATGCAAATAAGCCACATAAGGAAACATCTTTTTAAAATGGGTGATGCTCATAATTCATGCATGTAATCTTTGTGATGCATGTACATGTAATGGGTATCTATAAGTGTTTGGTATATAAATGTTTATGTGTGTGTATGATGCATATATTTTTTGTCTCAATTCCATTTAAGTTGTGTGTGTGTTTTATGTTTGTCCGTGTTACTTTTGATGGCAAATTTAATATAGTTTTAATCATAGTATTTTGGCTAAAAGGTTATTTTAGTTTTAGTCGCATTTTAGTCATCTGAATTGTTTTAGTTTATTTTTAGTCGACTAAAATTTGACTAAAATCGTTAGTCGACAAAATTAACACTGATGTGTGCATAGGTAAATTATCTCTAGGAAAGGAGAAACAAGGTAGCGTGTAGAATATTGCATATTCTATGTTTCTATTGATTATATATATGCATGTGTGGATTGACATAAGTAACAGATGGTATCAATAAGTCACAAGGCTTTCTTTGTCCGAGAGCTCTGGAATGTGGATGTGGGGGTCTTGTCCTTATATGGCTAGAGTTAAATGCTGACGTTAGTATTAGCACATCTTTATCGTAACAGAGGGACACGAGGTCGCTCTCTGTCTTGGCTCTTGGCTCTGGGCTCTCTCTGGCTCTCTCTCGATGTAAAGATGTAAGAATGTAAAGAAGTCCAGCAATTACCATCTGCTGTTGAAACATTCATTATCCTGTAACATCCTTTATTATGTTTTATTATGTATCTGTAACTAAGAATAAACCTGAAGAAACCGTAAGTCAGATTGCGTATTAGTACTTTTCAATAATATAGACATATTGTGGCGAGCATTTGGCCCAAGACTATATATACAAAAGACGTATATATATCAATCAACTGAAGACAAGAAGTAATTAAGAGGATTCTACATTAACACCATTACAAATTACATTTTACATAGCGCTTAGTCACTGTGCAGGAAAACAGGTGGGGAATAGTTAGGACTAACTACCACTTCATCAGATTGTGTACTTATTTATTGTTCATCCATGAGTATCAAAATAAAAGGCATGGGTTAGAGATTAATACCTGAAGTGTTCTGGGTGTAAAAGGTGGTGTGCCACATGTAATTGAGAATTAAGACTCATTGTCCTTACTCCCATAGGAAAAAAACAGCCTTTTTGATTGGATAGAGTAAGTCACTGTCATTTAGGGCAATTGTCACTGGCAAAGCTTTCAGTCTTTCTGTGTTAGCTTTTTTTTTTTTTTTTTTATCACAGAAGGAGATGGCATATAAAACACATTAAATAGTAAACCTGTCTGGGTTGTGTGTTTCCCCTCCTTTTAAGATGCTTTTAATTTACATTTTTATACTTGAATTAAAGCTGTTTCATACGTGTATGATGCCTGTGGGTGTTAAATATAATTTCCAGGGATACGTTTACAGCAGAGCTTCACAGTAATACAACGCACTGTAATTTGCAGTGTAAATTAAAGCATCGTAATAACATTTGTGGTGAAGTAAAACATATATAAATTATCATAGACTTGACACTCAACATTAACATGCTATGGTCATGCGTGCAATAAAATAATAATGCATGTTTAATTTGCAGTCAAAGGAACACACTAATGTTAAAAAAAACTAATAAAATAAATAAAAATAATAAACAAAATGCTATTAAAAATACAAAATATATATATTTTTTGGCTATATATATATATATATATATATATAGCCAAAATATATATATTTTGTATTTTTATAGCATTTATATATATATATATATATATATATAAAGGTATCATTGCATACTGCAATACTCTGGTATTTTGGCTATATATATATATAGCCAAAATACCAGAGTATTGCAGTATGCAATGATACCTTTTTTATTGAACTAACATAATATTTTAAAGACAAGCTTTCAAGAGTTTTCCTCTCTTCCTCGGGTCTGAAGCTTCATGCTATGCTTTGCTATGCTAATTACTTTTTAATATGCTATGCCAACAAAATGCTGCTCATAGAGAAGCATTTAATCAAGTGATTCTCTATCACTCCTTGAAAGCCATTAACAGGTTTATTCACTAAAGTAAGAATGCAAAGTGCATTCTATGAATAACAAAGTGAATCACCTGTGTTTCAAGTTTGGCTACTTTGGTCTAAAATTTTAAATTAATTTTGAATTCTAACTTTAGTGAATAAGCCTGTCAGATGTGGTTTTAGACATATGTAGTCATTAAGGTTTCACAGAAACAACAACGGTTTAAATTGTCTAATAAGGAACAGGATCTTTTTACCAAAACCACTTAACTTAATATTTTATTCTCAGCCACGTATTTTAAAATAAACATGTTTCTCCTTGTCACTATAATTATTGAGAGTCTAGAGTAAGCAAATCTGCACGTATTGGCAGATCCCCAGAACCAACAAGAACATACATTTACTATTAATACAATAATATCATGTGTTATGGTGGATAGGTGCTATTTCTTCCATTTTCTAAGATCCACCTGTGATCCGTGAAATTAAGATGGATGCCTCAATGAATGAGATTTAAAAAAAAAAAAGCATTGAGGTACTAATTTCTGGATAATGGATGGAGAGGGTCCCTGCCCTTGAGAGACACAATGTGTAGATAAATTAATAAACTAGAGATTTCATTGTCACATCAAGATAATTTATTCACTAAATTATCAACCAACTGGACCCAGCATTGCTTTGGCTGTAAAGCTTAACAAATCTGCTTTGGTGTCAAAGCGCCAACTTTACAAAACATGTAAATGGTCAATAATTTTACATCTAAAGTATATAGCACGTTATCTAACACAATATCTAAAATGTTTATATTTTCTGAAGTGTCATCGTGTTTTTTTGAAAAACACAGGCACTTTAAAAGCATAATGAAATACATAAATAGATAGATAATATTATTTATAGAAGTTTCCGCTTTTATCGTAATTTATTGAAAAAAATAATGCTGAACGTGACATATGGCATTATGCTAATTAACATTAACTTAGTATAAGTATGCTAAGGTTCCTTTAAGTGAATATATTATATACTATAGTTAATTTTTTTCCCGTGTTAAGTTTAAGGTTATTACAGGGCCTCTGAGCTCAGCTAGCCAAGAAATTGTCAGCAAGTTCTATTTCAACATAATATCATACCACTATTCCACCGAGACGAAGGATGCCAAGAAAAGTCAGTTGTATACATGTTTTTACTATTCTTGAATGCTTTTCCAGAAATCTCATTTCAGTTAATAACAACCAGCTTGTGACCCAAGTTTAACAAAACTCCAATATGTAATATCTTGGATAAACAGTTCTCAGCTTCAGTTTCCACAAAGGGTAAGAAAAATATACATCACCCAATGTACATTGGTCATCAGAACTATGTGATATGTTTGAGGTGCCAGAATTTATTTAACAATCAGAGATGAAATGAGTGTTAGTTCTGAAAATAAAGCACAATAGGAAATGTGAATAAAAAGGCTGTATTATAGATTCTGTGAGTAAAAACTAGACCTCAACAGATCCTATTTTGGCAGGATTGCCCTTAGTTTTTAGTGTTGCCATCACCAATGTCTTCCGCATTTTCCTTTTTCCCGGACACATTAAATAACAGATTATAAACCGAAATGACTGGAACTAGCAGTACACATCAAACACACCCGTTGATGAGTTTCATTAGGCTCTACAGGATTTTAGAAACCAGGGGAATTATCTACAAATATATATGCTCATATTGTAACATAATAAAAAAAAAAAAACATTTGACTGTTAGCAACTAGCGCAGGTTTCTGTATCTATATCACTAATGTGATGAAAGGCCGTTTACTGAATTATAGAAAACATAAAATATAGAAAACAATACAAAAAACTTAATTTTAAAAAATCATGAAATGGTGGCGGAGCTAGCAGCGCAACGAAGCAGTCGCATCTCTGGGAGCTCCGTCTCAAACTGATCCTAACGAACCCCTTTATGGTAGAATCTGAGCCAAAAAATCCCCACAAGCCATACTACCGACAACAAGTCGAATATGGGCTGAAAAACAAAGAAGATAAAAGCGGACAAATGCTCCCACAGCAGGAACATTGGGGACATGCTGCAGAACATGCAACAGGCCGCATGGTCTAAAATGGTGCCGGCAGATGACTTCTCCTCGTACACATCAAAGGAGTTTGCCACGGACGTCATAGAAGGAACGTCGTTCAGACCCACGCCGGACCGTTGGCAGAATTACGCAGAGATCTGGCGGCAGACATGGCCTACTACAAAGAGGCCATAGAAGGATCAACGGCCAAAATTACCCAACTGGAGGCCTGATCGAGTACACAAGACTCAAGACTAACCCAGGTGGAACAACGAGTGGCAGACCTGGAAGAAAGGCAAAATGCTACCACAGACCGGCTGGACACCCTAGAGGACCAGAGAAGACGATACAACGTGAAAATCCAAGGGGTACCGGAATCAGTCGACCTCACGAACTACCACACTGTGTCAGGCATTTCCTCAGAGTCCTGCTCCCACATAGATGCTCATCATTGCCTTGATTGTTGATGCTTACGTGGGCAAGAGGTGTCGTGGCATAGTCTATTACTATGTTATCTTTATGAATGAAAAATAAAGAATTAAAAAAAAAATCATGATACAACCTTTTATTTAGTGCATGCATATCCCATTAACAACTCTATTTAATATCACAATAGTTTCTTGAGAAATATATTTTTTGCCTGTTCTCCAGCAAAGTGATTATCAATGGACTTTAATCCAGTCAAAACAATTAATCTAGTTTTGTTCTTATTTTGTCTCTGTCCCTTTGCATTTGGTTATGTGATAGAATTATGAGTCTACCATTGTTCTAAGACAAACTGCGATTAAAAAAAAGAAAAGAGACAATAGATACTTGGGATAATTGACGATATTATTTAAGTGTCTCTTGTAAGGATTATTTGATAAATTATATCCAAGTCACTGATATTAATTTGCCTAACTGTATTGCATCATAGACTGTCCTTTAAAGGACAGTATAGACACACACGCCAGTGTATCAATAAAGTATCTGGCATTTTATTCCTGCAATCTTGTTGTTCTGCAAGTTACGTTGCAGGGTTCACATGCCTCTAGTGGCTATCATACTGACAGTGCAGTAGACAGGTGCTGCAAGGGGGAAAAGGCAAGTAGAACTGCTGTTTTACACCATACAGGTGGGAGCTGGTTTTGTTAAAGGGACACTATAGCGTTAGGAATAAATGTTTGTAATGTTGACATTTATGACGCTATAGTGTTTCTTAAAAAAAATGTTTTACAACAGTATCAATTATATTATGAGTTATAAAAGCTGCCTAGACTTTTGCAACTTTTTTGTAACAAAAACACCATAGATGTTCAGATGGCAAGCTCCGTGGGCTCCACTATATCACTATGCACTATTCTTGAATATTGGACAGAATGTATTTTTGTAAAGTTCCTAGCCTGAAAGATTACTCTAGGTCTTTTGTAATTTACTATTTTTCTTTCTATCCTTTTTTTAAATCTGTTTCCAAACAAAGTAAATATTAATATAATTTTAAATATAAGATCCACAGTCCTCTTTAGTACATCTATGGATGAATGATAGATTTTTAGATTTTGGACTTAGACTAAAGTGTCACATATACCTTTTAGTGTTATGCAAACAAAATATGCATCCTTACATAAATGACACAGAATTCAGTTAGATTTTTCTGTAAAATCAATTTGATCTAGATAGTTTTATTAATTTATTGTTTCTGCTATGTTGGATTTACTGTTTCTTGCATGGTGCCTGAAACAATCTATGTTACCTGTCTCCAATTATTAGACACTAGTATTACAAAGGGGGTGATGCATGAGATGCATGTTAAAGCTGTGCAACTTGTTATCATGGAAAAATACAGCAAAAGTGACAGAGGAAAATATTACATATATATAACCCCTATTAAGAGATGATAAGAGAAACATTTTTTTTTCTTTTAAAAAATTAAATGTTTTATGTTAAAATAAACAGATTTAATTTAGGCATAATGTAGAAACTGCTCAGGGTAACAGAAAAACAAAAACAAACAAACACAAAGAAAATGAAAACGAGGTGTAAAACAACAATGGAATTGATTTCTTCAACTTTGTTTCACACATTGTCTAAGGCAGGTCGTAACTACGAGTTCTTTGCCTAAGAGTTGCTGTTGCGTATACATGTATAGCATGTTTTGAAAAGTTTGTTGTTAGGGCCATTAACATAGTGCTGCCATAAATAAAGATATGTATATATCTGTGCTTCTGTAACAAAATAGGAAGAGGTGTTTTTGCTACAAGGGGCTTAGAGAAAAATTAAAAGTATTGTAAATGTAAGATGTGTATGTAGAAAGTCTTGTAATGAAGACCAGAAGTCACACTAAGGTTATAATTTAGCAATAATGGTAAGCTCTAGCAAATAACATGATTATTAGTCCAGCTAAGTTAATGTCTTGGCTTTTGCAACTGTGGTCACTCCTGTGGAACTCTAATATATAAGGAATTAATACATTTATTTAAAAAATTAAAAACAAGAAGTTTCATTATTTTTCTCTTTTAAACAATATTGGTTATTAAGTAAAGTAAATTATTGTAATTTGTGTTATTACTGTCTGCAATAATTGAATGTACTTAGTGATTAATTTAATTGCTGTCCAGGTTTTTGTGGGCAAAGTCTTTAGCTAGAAATCATGAGCTACTTTATTATAGTCCTTTTGGTAAGGCTTCCAGAGTATAAGAAGGAAACCAAGATATGTTCGACCCACACCCGTCAATAAGTGCCTTCACTAGAAGCCTATTTCCCTTGTGTCAGCAGGTTAATTGATGTTGCACTTCATATGATTTATATTGAC